CTGGTGGTGATAACAACAAATCCCGGGTGGGTGAAGTAGTAGGTGTGGTCGGGAGAAGGGAAATCGGAGCACCGAGGGTCGCTAGAGGTGGCACAGTGGAATTCCCGCGGACATAGCCGATTCTCCGTGTGACAAGGGTATCGCGTCCTTATGAGCTCGTTTATTATAGGGGTGAAATAGTCCGGGTCATAGGACGAGTCTGAGCCCCAAGATCGAGTCATGGTATCATTGCAGATGGGATAGCGCGGGTCGGGATATCGTCACCGCGCACGAGCACGTGTAGGACAGGCCGACTTGGTGGCGCCTCAGCATGCTCGTACGGGATGACGGTTCCGCCGATGATTCCTCTCGGGGTGAGCGAGTCGACGCACGGGAATGCGTGTAAGGGCGCGACTCAGATCGCGTTTACACGTGTTCTCGTGCGGCGCTCGCGGGTCCGGACTTCGGATCGCCTAATTGCTTCGTAAGTTTCGGCTATGCAAGATGCGACCATACCACAACCTCATCGTAGGACAAGCAAAAACGAGAACGAAATCGATATCGGAGCTAGATGCTTATCCCATCTATCGCTGCATCCGGTGCAAGCAAAGATTCGACACAAACAAAAAGCAAGGGCAGGGATTCTCCGCAAAAAGATAGGCACGCAGGCATAATATTTATGCATCCATACATTCAACAATCATACACATAATGCCGTCACAAGGACAAGTATGAGCAAAAACCCAAGTCCAGATTCCAGAAAGCCGAAATGAAGATAAAAACGGGCAAACCGCTCGGAGCTGCAATCAAAATGTATGTACACAGATGAAGAGGGAGAAGAGACAAAGAAACAGCAAATCCACGTCCATCAACCTCAACTCCCTTCTCCTCTCTCTCTCTCTCTCCGATGCGGATAGTCCGTCGTCACGCACCAACCCACGAAGTTGTCACCCCGCTTAGTCCTCCCGCACCCGTCGGATTCGCCCGTGCCAACAGTCCATCGTGGCCCAAGTCAATCCCGCGCGTTTGGCACCAACCCGTCGGGTCGCCCAACTCCAACTCTACCCACCTCTTACTGATCGCGCAATCCCGAGCTTCCAACAACGGGTTAAGAGAGTTGACTAATCGCGCAGCCAAAATTCATAGCGTGCATGCATGCGCGAAGAACACGGAATTACTAGGACTTAGAGTGAGGATTAGAGAGAGGACGCTTGCGTTCTGCATGATCGGCCGCGGCGTGGGGGACGTGACCCTTCTCTACGCATCGATCCGATCATGCAAACCGTGGCTTACGAAAATTTCAGCAAAAGACGGAGAGGGAGGGCGGGAGAGACGAAGTACAAGAAGAGAGATACAGTTACAATGGCGCCTGCCCAAAATTACAGTTACACACACGATTAGAGGCGCCCACTAATCAGAGTACCGTTGCGGCCGCACGAAAAAGCGTGTAGACAAAAGGCGTCGCGCGGCAGAAAAAATCCTAATTACTAAATTCCTAAATTCCTCTCTAATACGAAAAGGCAAAAAGCACAAGCTTTAGAAGGAAAATCCGAAATTCCGAAAGCCATCAGGGGCTCGACAAAATTCGAAAAAGATTTGAAAGGAAATTCAAAAAGAACGAAGCAATTTCTCGCGCAATGTCCGCGCCCAAAAGATCGAAATCGAACCGAAAGAAACGACGCCAACATTTATTAATGGCGCGCGCGCGTGACATCACATCCGACAACCATCCGACCAATCAATCAATCAGCCATCCCAAGACACACCTGACTCCGAACCCAGTTATCCGATACGAAGCGACGAAAAATGACGAAAAAGCGAGGATACTGATGCAATTCTCCACCGGTCCCGATCTCCCGTAATTGGCCCAATCTTTCCAGCTTAGGACCCCTCATTGCAACCGCGCAGAAAATCGCGCATTACAGAAAATGGTTCGTCACATAGGCGACGCCCAGGGGGTTCCAGTATTAGCAAGCTCCTGCTTGCTTGTTGACACGTGTCGATTTCTCTAATCGATCGACACGCGGAGCACTTTCTTCTACGCCACTTACCGTTCAACTGCGTGTGGGCGTCATCCAATGTGGCAACACTGCTCTTCTACTAGTTCCTCAGATTGGGCTCCTCGACGATTCAAGGACGGGATCTTTCTCATGCCGTCGCCGCGATACGCATCCATTCCCTCCTGCATTAGTAATTAACCGGGAGGGGAAAAGGGAGCCGGTGCATGGCGGCATGGCGGGGTGGAGGGTTTATGGGTGATGGGGGCAGGAGACTTTCCATTCCGGCTGCAGTCTCCGGGAGCTCTTGGTAACGAACAATGCGGTGAAAGCGGGGGAAGCGATTGCCAGTGCGAGGGAGGGATGCGAGATAATCGGGATAGAGGGTAGTGAGAGTCCGGAAGAGTGCCGCGCGGAAACGATCGCGATCATCGTATGCGGGGATGGTCCCCGTTACCACACAGTAAACCTCGATCATGTTGTGGTCTCGCCACGCGGCACTAAGGAGCAGGACATGGAGGCAGAAGGCTGGGACAGCGCATCGAATGGAGGGGTGGGGGTGCACCACTATACCGAGGCGAGTAGCGTAGAAGTGGCGGAAGGTGTCGCGAGGAAACGGATTGGAGGGGAACGTGATGGGGGTGGTGAGCTGGCGGAGGGTGAGGTAGTCAAGGGGACGGCGAGAGAGTGATTGGGGACGAAGACCGATCGCCTGTATCGGTACGTCGGCGAACTGGGGGACGGGTTGACGAGGAGGGGGATTGGCTCCGTCTCCGCGCTGATGGGGTCGGAGTCGTGGCCGCGAGGTCGCCATCTTCAGGCCGGGGCGGCTCCGGATCTCGGTTCGGATCGTCGTGAATCTGCAGACTCGCTACGCTTGCGAGCTCTAACTCCTTCCCGACCGCGATCTCTTTTCTTTTGCGGGCCGCGTCTAGATCTTTCGCCTCCGTACCTGTACGCAACGCTTCTTCTGGCACGGCTTCCCACTCTGATCGAGCAGGCTCTTCGTCGTGTTCCTCGTCTTCTTCCTCGCTTTCTTCTTCTTCTTCGCTCTGTTCCCCTTCGCTATGCTCGCTATAGCTTCCTTCTTCGGGGGTCTCGTCCTCTTCGCTGAGCTCTTCGTCGCTGTTCCCGCCTTCTTCCAATCCGTCGTCGTCTTCGTCACTCCCGGTACTCTCTTCCTCCTCCTCTTCTTCTCGGATGGCCGCAAGCTGCTCCGCCGTAGGACGCCTGAAGAAGGCAGGATCGCGAGTCGTCCGGGGATCCAGGTATTGTTGCTGCGACGGCGGGATGCGCTCTGCAGCTCCTTCTACACAAGCCGACCACTGAAGATAAGGTGTCAGTGTGCGAGAAAGTACGTGGGGAACTAAATGCTCGTCGTCCTGCGAGATGATATCAAGAGGGAGATCGTCCGCCAGCTGTGCTACCGGGATCGTGAGCTCTTTCGTGATGAGATCTTGATGATCGGGCCGCATCGTACCAAATAGAAACGCGAGAAGCTCTCCCTCCACGTTGGTTCTCCAGGCCTGGATGAACAGCAACTCCAAGCGCTTTATGCAAGGCGGGTGCGCTTCGCCGTCGATCCACGTCAGCTGTACTTCCACCAGACACAGTGAAAGTTCGATGAAGTCTTCGCGCCACATGACCCAATAGGGAGAATGGATATCGGGGACAGCGAGGGGCTTTAGACAGTAGGAAAGGCGAGGATGGATATCGGACTGCCAGAAGGTGGGGAAGGTGGAGGGGAGATCAAAAACGGAGATCGGAGAGAGACTCATTGGGGACGTGGGAAGGGAACGAGGGTAGGCATGTCTGCTGGCGGCTCGCGCTGATACATCCGAAGACCGTCATACTCGATTGCTTGTGTCGTTGCGACTGTATCTTTGGGACGGGCCAGAAGCTGGGTCCACTCGGCGACCAGGTCGTTCGCCCACGCGCGCAGCGACGCCTTCACCGCCGAATGTCGCAAAGGAAGGAGTGTGGAGAGATCGCCACTGAAGTTGATGACGACCGATAGGCGACTGACACCTGGCACCACTCGCTGATGAACTGCCACCACTTCGGCCAGTACCACCGCGTCAGGCCGACCTTCGATTCCGAATACCGCCGCTACATACACGCCTTCCGTGCAAAAGAAGTGCACAAGCCTACGAAGATCTGGACTGAGGCGGGGATGATGGACTTGCCGGATCGTCAATCGATCGCGGGGAGCAAGCGATGTTGTGTTGAGGGCTCTTTCCTCCAAAAAACTCATGGCGATGGCGGAGGTGACGGGGAGGCAGAGGGGGAGCAAGAGGAATAGGGAGATGGCGGAGAGCTAGAGTCGTCGTTTTCGGTTTCCTCAGAGGGAGAGATCGAGGGAGAAGGAGACGGTGCGGAGGGGAGGAGGCGAAGATAGGACACGTGGTGTGTGATCGGACGAGCCGACCGACTGCCGGAGACTTCAGGGGCGAGACGCACGGTGTCCACGCCGTTGGGGCCGAGCTCGATCACGCGATATCGTCCGAAGAATCGTGGCGCTAGCTTACCCTGACGAGCACATTTCCTCACCTGCACCAAGTCCCCCAATTTGTACTGGGGCTGCGGACCCGCATTCCCATTTTGGGCCTCGTAGCTCCGGACCTGTCGGCCCTGGGCTAGTTCGGTCATTTTCTGTCGCTTTCGGGCTAGCCTGGGCAGCGACCTTTCCATTAACTCTAGGTGCCGTTTGGCCTTATCCCAAGCCGTAGCCCAAGTGGGCGGTCGGTTCAACGTAGACTCATTCGGGAGGCTTGGTATCGAAACGCAAGCGACACTATTGGTCCTTAATTGGAAGGGGTTCAGCCCCGTTGATTCGTGGGGTGTTCCGCGATGGACCGCCAAGATGTGATCGACGATATCGGGCCAGGGTCTCGGATCCCTTGCCGCGATGTTCCGTCGCAACACTGTCTTTATCACCCGGTTAGCGTTTTCGACTAGTCCGTAAGATTGTGACATGTGGGGTGCAGTGTATGGCGACGCTATGTAGGACCAGATTCCTTAATACCTCTCCCCTGAATTCAGCCCCGTTGTCGGTCAGGATCTCTTCGGTATCCTGATGCATCCCGAGGAAGCGGTTGACATATCGCGCGATCTCCGTGGCTTGTCGCGTGCGACAAGGATACACCTCGATCCATTTCGAGAAATGGTCGACAAATACCAATAGGACTGAATATTCGCAACTATTAGGGCCAGGGGGTACCATTATGTCGGTAGTGTCCATGCTTAGTACTCTTTGAAATGGTCGTTCAACAACCGTGGGCACTATCGACCTTGGTGGCTGAATCGGCACTTTATCGGCGGCGCAGACTTGACAGTTGGCGACGATGTACTTCACATCGTCGTGGATATTGGACCAGTACCACTCATTTTTGTCGATAGCGGACTCCGTGATTCGTACAGCAAAATGAGCCGCAGTTTCCTCGTGGGCTGTCTTAACCCAGTCATACCGCATGAACGGATGCGGTACTACCATCCAAATCCCACTGCCGTCCGTTTTCCGTTTTTGTAATCTCCCCTCTATCCACCTGTAATCCCAGCCCTTTCGTTGGCCCTCCTCCGATCTTCCTTAGTGAAATCCTGGAGGGGGTTGCTAACCAAGGTGGCAATCAAGGCGATATCAGTCCATACTTCGGCCCTTCTAAACTTCCGGGTCTTTTCCAGCCCTTCTGACGTGGCGTCAAAAAAACGAGCCTCGGTCGGAATCTTGTCGGTCCGACACAAGGGACACAACCACGGTTTACTATCGTTTCTGTATTGGATGCACGAGCCATGGGCTCGTGCGACGCACTGTCAACAGTCTATCCAATCGACATACCCTTCTTCGTTAGGACACATGGAGACCGAGTATACGCGGGAGATAGCTTCGCAAAAATAGCAAAATTTGTCAGGCAGGGAGAGGAGAGACGAAGAGGAAGGAGGGGAGAGGAGAGACGAAGAGGAAGGGGGGGAGAGAGGGGTAGTGGGGTTACCTCCGTCACCCATCGCCACCGCTTTGCTTCTTGCCACGAGGGAGGACTGCCACTTGTCCGTACTTAGGCTCGTTGGTCAGGTCCGGCTCCTTCCACGGTGTAATTTCCTCGCCCTTTGGTACCTTGGCAGGTCGATGTAGGCGTGTCAGCCCGTCCGCGTTGCCGTGTCGCTCCGTCTTTCGATGGACGATATCGAAGTCGTATTCTTGCAATCGCACCGCCCAACGGCCAATCATGCCCGTGTAGTTGGTGAGCTTCTTCAAAGCTAGCAGAGGCTCGTGATCCGTCACGAGGTGAAACTTCTGTCTGTAGAGATACGGATGAAAGTGCTGAATTCCCCAGACCACTGCATAGCATTCGCCTTAAGGTGCTGAGTCGTTCCTTCGTTCGTCCGACACGGTTCGTGACGCGTACTCGATGACGTGTTCGCAACCATCGTTCCCCTTCTGCGCTAGAATAGCGGAAATCGCTTCCGGTTGCCAGCCCGTGATGAGAATGAACTGCTTCGAGGGGTCCGGTCGAATCAAAATAGTGGTCGTCGCTAGAGTGTCCTTGAGGGTTGCAAAGGCCTGCTGGCACTCCGCATCCCAGCTGAGAGGTTGGTCCTTCCGTAACAGATTCGTTAGTGGTCGTGCAATCGCGACAAAGCCCTTGATGAAGCGCCGGTAGTACGACGCGAGTCCCAAGAAGGCTCGAACCTGCGTCAGTGACGTGGGAACCGGAGATTCCTTCACCGCCGCAACTTTTCTCGAGTCTGGCCGCAATCCTCCACGTGTCACGACATAGCCCAAAAACGAAATTTCTGAGAGGAAAAATTCGCTCTTCTCAAGCGCAATCTTGAACCCAGCGTTTCTAAGTGCACCCAATGTCCATTCGATGTGTCGCGCGTGCCCGTGATAGGTTTTCGAATAGACCAGGATGTCGTCCATGTACACGATCACACAAAAGTTAATCATTCCTGCGTCAGTCGTGTCTTGCTGCCGAAGTTATGGAACGTCATGTTCATCGCTCGCTGGAACGTGGCAGGCGCATTGCAAATCCCCATCGGACATCGAACCCACTGCCACGTGCCTTCAAACAACACAAAGGCTGTCTTCGGCCGATCTTCGTCCCTTACCAGAATATGATAGAAGCCATGCCGAATATCAAACTTACTGAAATATTTAGCGCATCCGATCGCATCCAACAGATCATTAATCCGGGGGAGGGGATACACATCTTTGATCGTGATTTCATTCAGCTTTCGATAATCAATGCGAATGTGAATCGCTCTGTTCTTCTTCGGTACTAACACTACAGGGAAGGACCAGGGTCCAGTAGCAGGTTCAATCCAACCACTGGCTTCGAATTCCCGAATTCGTTCGAGAGTCTTTTTGCGTTCAATCAAGGAATAACGATAAGGTTTGCAATGAATTGGGGAATGATTTCCTGTCTGAATTTCGTGTTGGATTACTAACGACAGCCCAATGTCAGTGTCTGACACACTAATCGCTCCTTGATATTCTGTAAGAATGTCTACATTACCCGGTGGATTTCATCCGACACGTATTGTGGGACGTGTAGTTCAAAAAGTTGGTCCTAGATCCGAACGTCAATCTGTTTCGTGTTCGCCTGTTTTGCCAAATTGGGTGGAGGCACCGAGATGAATGAATGATCCGATCCCCAGGAGAACACCGTGGCCATCATCTTAGCATCTTCTTCTCGGATTGCCTCGTGTCCTTTCGGGGTAATCCCGTTACAAACATCCTGCCATGGCACTTCCTTGGTTGCGACTTTATCCCCAGTCTGTCGGTTTCTGCTTCAAAACGCCCAGGGGGTTCTAGAGAGTTTGCTTCCGCCCCCAAGCGTAACAACCTCACTTCTTTAGCCGATGTTAGTAAAGACCGAGGTAGTTCCGTAATGTCGCAATAATGCTTTTTGTCGCTAYACCTGGCGAGGAGAGGGGTGATCCCTTCGTACAGAGTTTGAGGGGGTTCCAAAGAGTCGACCATCCTCGAAATCTGCACAAGGGGCTCTCCCAAGATCATCGCCTTGGTCTTTTGAATTTTTCGGCTGGTCAGTTGCATCGTTCTCGCTATCGTTTTGGGCGGCGGGTAGTAAACGCGTTGTCGTACCAATTTCAAGATCTCCACATCATCTTCGTCACTGCTTGCTGCATCATCAGTTGATGGCTTCCCTTCTGCGGGTTCGTCCCAGGAGATCATGCGGAGAGTCCCTGCCATCATCGGCGGAACCCGTGGAACCTCGTTAATAGTAGTGCGAAGGGTCAATCGCATGGGCACAGCGTAGGGTTTTCCTCCTGTATTTCGGAGGACGATTGATCGTCGTTCGAAATCCAGGTTTGCTCGTAACGCCACAAGAGCGGAAAGTCCGAAAAGAACGTCGTACGTATTAACATCTAGTACTACGACATCCCCAAGCACGTGTACTTTTCCTAATCGGAAGGCGACGTTGGTCATTCTCCCCACAATTTTAATCTTTTCCTCATCTGCCGAAACGAGCTGATCTTTCTCGGTGAGCATGATCAGATCATTTTTCCTGCCTGCCCTTTCGACCACTCTCAGTGAAATAGCCAACACAGCTGCTCCTGAGTCTATAATGGCGTTGTAAGGAATTCCCCAAATCTCTATATCGCACTCTGCGGATTTCCACGGAATGGGTTTAATCCGTAGGAAATGATCGTCTTTCTGAATTAATCCTATCCGTATCAGATCCGGAGTGCTTGTTGGGTTTTCTTCCGGCGCGGGGCCTTTGGCTTTTACGTTCGGTGCTTGGGCGAGAGCGAATCGCTTTCGATCCGCTTTGCAGTGCTGTAACATTCGCTCGTTGGCTTGCTCGGAGATCGAGAGTAGATGACCGATCGGAAGGGGAATCCGATGGTTCAAGGCTCGGATGATGTTTAGTACATCGATCTCTCATGTGATGAAGGTGGGTCCTCCCGACTCCATTTCTCCTAAGGACGGTCGCTACTCCGCCACCTCTTTCGGTTCTGGCGCTGGTCTGATTGTTCCGATCATTCCTAGCCCAGGATATCCCAGTGACACATACTGATTTAGCGGAATTAGCTCGATGACCTTTTCCGTGGTGGCCAAGGCACTTCCTCCACCCTCTACTTCTTCCATCAAGGCTCCGACTCGTCCAGGTCCATAAGCGATGGGGGCCACAACCATAGGTGTGACTCCGATCCGCTGTTGCGGGGGTCGGTGGGGGCAATCACGCGCTAGATGGCATGGTTGATGACAGGCGTAACAGACATTCAGATTGTTTGCGACTCCTCCGAGCGCAGGGGCCGGGGCTAATCCTTGCTGCATCGGAGGGGCACGCACCGCAATGGGTCGCATGTTCCTCATCATGGCTTCTAGCCGAGCATTGTGCTCTCGCTGCTCCTTTTTGCTTTCCTGGATCAAGCTAATCAAGGTTTTGGTTAGTCCGAAAATGGTTGTCGATTCGTTTGATCGTACAGGTGCCTCAACCGGTGGCGGGGGTAATGCCCTGACAGGCGGGGGCATCATAGGAGCAGAGATGCGCGGAGTCTCACCTAGGATTACTCGTTTGGGGCCTATCTGTTCCATATAGGTGACAGGTCCTGATACAAACCCCATGTTTTCGAATTTGTTATGTAAAGCAACCAGCTCTGCTCTTGCTCGAGCGAGCTCGGTCGAATCTCCGTCTCTAGGGTAATCTTCTCCTTCCAGGAAGTTCGCCGAGAACTTCCGTTCCATTTTTTACGCAACAGCCATAATTTGTTGTAGCGTATGGGTGATGGGGGAAAACCGCTTTCGCAACTTAGCCCTTATTGTTCGACTGCGGAGTCCGTTAATGAACAGATCTCTCCCTACTTGCTCACCTCGTTCAGTTTTTACAAACATTCGGTAGAACCGGTTTCGATATTCCGCAACGGATTCGAGCGGTTTTTGCACTCGGTCCTTGATCATGTACAACGCTTGCTCGGGGTGGACATAATCAAATCGATTCATGAAATCCCGTTCGAAGGTCGGGAGATCCACCCATACATAGGTACTATACCAATGATGAGCGTCTCCTCCCATTCGAGCCGGAATGTTGATCTGTGCTTCGTGATCATCGTACTGCTGTGCTCTAAGCGTGGCCAGCCATGCTCCTGCGAGATGGTGCGCCGGATCAAATAGATAGAGATCTGGTGGTGACATGGGAGCTCGTGCACGTGGGGCAGGTTGATTAGGTGGATTAACATTTTGTTGCGGAACTGGATTTTGCACGTTGGCAGCCATATTGGTTGCTCGTCGGTTAGCCGATCTGCTTCTGGTGACGATAGGGTCGCGTCTATGCGCGTTCCGAACGCGAGGTCGCCCACGATTAGCCATGTCGCCTAATTAACGTGTTATCGATCCTAAGACCCTAGCCACGTGTCGGGCTCCGATACCAACCTCACGCCCAGCGCGACTTCCTGATCGGAGTGGAGTGTGGGCCTGGAAGTGCGAAAGGGGTGTGCCAAGGGTTTTTGGGGAAAGTGGGGGAGTCTTAAGGGTATGTATGCRATTAGGCGAGCGCAAGCAAGGGTCTCATAGTCCGAAGGGGCCGGGACACTGTGGGCGACGGGTTACGGGAAAATCCCTCCGTGGTGGAGATGGTCCCGAAAAGTTGGGCCATCGGGGGCCGCCACGTGGCGCAGGCCGCTGCGTACCGGGGTTGGGCCTTCGAAATTCCGGGGTTCTTTGTTCGCCGCTACGTCGGTAGTTCACGCAAAACGTATTGGGCCAATAGGGGGCTATGGCCGGCAACGGAACAACACTGAGTTGATGATACGGGAGAAGAAGGCGGAAAGGAGGGAAACTGGTGGTGATAACAACAAATCCCGGGTGGGTGAAGTAGTAGNCTGGTGGTGATAACAACAAATCCCGGGTGGGTGAAGTAGTAGGTGTGGTCGGGAGAAGGGAAATCGGAGCACCGAGGGTCGCTAGAGGTGGCACAATGGAATTCCCGCGGACATAGCCAATTCTCCGTGTGACAAGGGTATCGTGTCCTTATGAGCTCGTTTATTATAGGGGTGAAATAGTCCGGGTCATAGGACGAGTCTGAGCCCCAAGATCGCGTCATGGTATCATTGCAGATGAGATAGCGAGGGTCGGGATATCGTCACCTCGCACGAGCACGTGTAGGACAGGCCGACTTGGTGGCGCCTCAGCGTGCTCCTACGGGATGACGGTTCCGCCGATGATTCCTCTCGGGGTGAGCGAGTCGACGCACGGAAATGCGTGTAAGGGCGCGACTAAGATCGCGTTTCCACGTGTTCTCGTGCAGCGCTCGCGGGTCCGGACTTCGGATCGCCTAATTGCTTCGTAAGTTTTGGCTATGCAAGATGCGACCATACCACAACCTCATCGTGGGATAAGCAAAAACGTGAACGAAATCGATATCGGGCTAGATTCTTATCCCATCTATCGCTGCATCCGGTGCAAGCAAAGATTCGGCACAAACAAAAAGCAAGGGCAGGGATTCTCCGCAAAAAGATAGGCAAGCAGGCATAACATTCGTGCATCCATACATTCGACAATCATACACATAATGCCATCGCAAGGACATGTATGAGCAAAAACCCAAGTCCAGATTCCAGAGAGCCGAAATGAAGATAAGAACGGGCAAACCGCCCGGAGCCGCAATCAAAATGTATGTACACAGATGAAGAGGGAGAAGAGACAAAGAAACAGCAAATCCACGTCCATCAACCTTAACTCCCTTCTCCTCTCTCTCTCTCTCTCTCCGATGCGGACAGTCCGTCGTCACGCACCAACCCACGAAGTTGTCACCCCGCTTAGTCCTCCCGCACCCGTCGGATTCGCCCGTGCCCACAGTCCGTCGTGGACCACGTCAATCCCGCGCGTTTGGCACCATCCCGTCGGGTCGCCCAACTCCAACTCTACTCACCTCTTACTTTGCTCGTGTGCCGACCCTTCCTGATCTCGCAACCCCGAGCTTCCAACAACGGGTTAAGACAGTTGACTAATCGCGCAGCCAAAATTTATAGTGTGCATGCATGCGCAAAGAACACGGAATTACTAGGACTTAGAGTGAGGATTAGAGAGAGGACGCCTGCGTTCTGCATGATTGGCCGCTGCGTGGGGGACGTGACCCTTCTCCACGAATCGATCCGATCATGCAAACCGTGGCTTACAAAAATTTCAGCAAAAGAAAGAGAGGGAGGGCGGGAGAGACGAAGTGCAAGAAAAGAGATACAGTTACAATGGCGCCTACCGAAAATTACAGTTACACACACGATTAAAGGTGCCCACTAATCAGAGTACCGTTGCGGCCGCACGAAAAAGCGTGTAGACAAAAGGCGCCGTGCGGCAGGAAAAATCCTAATTACTAAATTCCTAAATTCCTCTCTAATACGAAAAAGCAAAAAGCACAAGCTTTAGAAGGAAAATCTGAAATTCCGAGAGCCATCAGGGGCTTGACAAAATTCGAAAAAGATTTGAAAGGAAATTCAAAAAGAACGAAGCAATTTTCCGCACGATGCCCGCGCCCAAAAGATCGAAATCGAACCGAAAGAAACGACGCCAACATTTATTAATGGAGCGCGCGCGTGACGTCGCTTCCGACAACCATCCGACCAATCAATCAATCGGTCGTCCCAAGACACACCTGACTCCGAACCCAGTCATCCGACACGAAGCGACGAAAAATGACGAAAAAGCGAGGATATTGATGCAATTCTCCACCGGTCCCCATCTCCCGTAATTGACCCAATCTTCCCAGCTTAGGACCCCTCATTGCAACCGCGCAGAAAATCGCGCGTTATAGAAAGTGGTAGAGAGAGAGAGAGAGAGCAGCAGGTATCGCACCTGCTAGCGGGTGCA